GGTCTATTTAATCAGAGGAGGTAGTCGGCCCAACCTGACAGAAGGATCCTTGCCGGCAACCATGGGTTGCTTCGTCCAAGGGTACCTTGTAGACCTGGTGTGAATATTTGTCTAAGGGGACAATTTTGAATCCACCTTAGCTAACAGATGGCTTTGTGCCCTATCGATCATATCATATTGACTCATATCTCAAGGATTTGATGTCACTAAGGAACGTATTGGCTGTGGCTATAATCGCTATATTGTGGTGCCATTTGATGGCAAAACTACTAGATTCAGAGGGCTTTGGCTCATAATCGTTTATCTTGCGGTGCCATTTGGCGGCAAAACAGCCGGTTAGAGGACACATACCACGTCCTTATTAGCAGGAGATTATTTAAGAACGGATTCTAGTGATATTTTTCGATTAGACATTAGCTCTATGTGAGATGAAGTTATATTCAAATTTGTTCACATTGGCAAACTATTGTAGAGGGTGAATGTATTTTACTTTGAGTGATTGATGGATTAAATTTCAATTTTAAATATCTTTAGATTAGATGATTTCTAGAATTTTGGATCTTCGTGGGTATTTGGGTGGAGCTTTGAATGTTGAAGTCATCCTTTTAGTTGAGATATACATTCAACATGGCCATCATCGGGGTGAATAAGATCATTATATTTTATTAATTGGACATTTTCAACTCTATTAGTTTGCCGACAAAGGATTAGATTCGTCATAGGATTTATGCCTTTATTAATGAATTCTCATTAATATAGGCCTTGAAGGCCTAATATGAATGTATTAAGACAAATATACCGGTCACCGCAACCATATATTTGTTTGATGGTTCGACTCATATTGATCCGCATAGAATGATCGGGTTCAAACTTGAATTCACTTATTGACCTGCGCAGCATCTCTAGATGTAATGTGTGTACCCATAACATGCTCGTTGTGGCCCATGCGGGTCGTGATTGTATTTACCCCTTTAGTATATCTATTTGTATACATATTATGGTGCATGTGCGGGGGCATTTTTGAAATATCAACGGATCTTCTACAGTAACTAGTAGAGGCTCGTGCTTGGCATAGGCCTTCTGTATTTGCCTGTTTTGTACAGGTAGACTGTCGTGCACTACTTTTTGCTTTCTGCAGGTATATTGTAGTGCACTAACGAATATCCTGCTTTATGTTTATAGATGCTTGTATTTATTCTAGATTCTTGATCTTTGTTGGTAGTTGTCATGTAGCATGTGTACCAAATGTACTGCATTCACCATTAGATATTCAATGCATGCTTGCCGCCATGTTGTTGGATTCGCTGTAGTTATTATGTATTTTGCTTGTCTTCGAGACATTGGGTGTATGACGGGTCTCCTACAAAGGCCCATAGATATTTACATTTTTTTTGCCAATTACTCCGCTCTTGCATGGAGGGATATGCATATTTGTTCCCATTGGGTGGTCGTTGCTTGTAGGAGTATTACATATTATCTTGCAAATCCACATTTGAAGATAGGTTCTTTGTTGTCTTTGAAAGCAATAAAAAGGGCAATACTCTTGTTTGTATGATTGATACATGCATCAATCATCCTTGTCATTATATGGATTGCATGATATTCATTTGGATGCATATCGCTGTCGTTCATGCATACTCATATGTATCCCACAGTTGTTTGTAAGGGATTGTCATTTTTCTTCGGTAGCTAGTTGATGTTGACTATAGGGATATCGCAACATTGATTGCATCTCTTTCAGTATTCATAAAAACTACTACACATGTTTGCAAGATAGTGGACGTCAATCAAAGGGACTTCCATACAACTTGTGTGGACCTTGTGTATTGAACTGTCATCATATTCTAAACATCATGAAAACTTTTATTACTTATGGGCAGCTTTATGTTATCTACTGTTATCACTTGCAGGAGTATGTTGTATTTATTACACCAAAGTAACATCAGCTGTGTACGAGCTTCTACGTCTTATTCATGAACACACTATGATATTCATTATATTCATACTGTTTCCCATTAGTCTTTGTAAGTGAGTGTTGACTGTTGGATGAACTGCACTCATTACTAGTTTCATCATACATTTGGCCCCCATTGCTTATAGGTTTCAATGCATTTGATTGCATTTTGATCTTGTGTTCATAACAAATGGGCATTGTTGTTTGCATGTAGATGAGCCATATTGAGTGTTACAGTCCTCTATTATCATATGAAGATGACTTAAATCTTGCATGATGAATTTGCTTGATGATATTTGCATTCCAATTTAAGTGATAATTCTTTATGTTCGTTGAAAATCTTGTATTGTTAACTATAAGCATGCTATCGCATTCTCCATTTTCTCCTTGTTGATGATTGCTTGCAATCGAATGACGATTGAATTCTCACTCATATGATTTTTGTGCCCAATCATTCGAATTGATTTTCAATCTATATAAGGAAACAAAACACTCACTTGCATGTTAATTATGCATGAAAACTTCTTGCCACTAGTTCCACATTTGCATGTGAATCACTTTTTCTTTTTTGGAATATTACCCACCACAACTCTTTCATTTATTCATTAATACTCACCACTTCATTTATTCATTGATGTTGCTCACAACCTTTAGTCAACTTTCATTCAAGTGAATTAGATTGTAACTTAGCATTTTGTATATTCATTTTAGTGTGTGATTATTAACTTAAAGCCCAATTCACCGTTAGGCAAATTCATTTCAAGTTAAACTTGATTCCTTATGCTCAATTGTTTGAATTCAAGTTCAAGTCATTTATTATTTGCATTCAAGTGAAGTTCATTTGAGTTCATTGCAGATTCGAGTTCAAGTTCAATGTCAATGTTCTTATCCTTGTCCAAGCTTGAGTCCAAGTAAAGCTTATTTAATGTTCAATTCATGTTCAATTCCAAGTCCTGTTTATTTGATATTCAAATCAAGTCCCAATTCTTGTCCTCTGTAGTCAATTTTGCAAGTCCAAGTTCGTATTCAATTTTATTTTACTTAGGTTCAAGTATTTTATAGACATTTTGTGTCCAAATACAAGTCCAAGTCCTTGTATCCTCTGTCCAAATTTCGGCAACCTCCCGACATCTCCTATGTTCAGGGGAAAAACCAAGAGGCAGCCTTCCCCTTCACACTATATGAGCGCTTCAGGTAGATGTCGAGGGACATTGTGGCTGTACTTTCTTCAATTTCCGTTACGCTACATGAGCGTTTAAGGGTCTTTGAGTACATGTTGATAAGAGCAGTGATTTTCTCACGTATGGGTACTTAGTTTTCGTTTCTCTCACGCTACATGAGCACTCCGGGGATTACCCATCTCGTCGCAAGCGTCATGCCAGTTTCCCTCCTCCCGTGCTACGTGAGCGCGTAGGGATGTTTGCAGACTCGTCGCTAGCGTCGAAAGTAGGATTTTTAGGTTAGAAACTTATACCTTCACATAGATGGACCAGCGGTGGAGTTGACATGCTAGGGAAACACTTACATATCGACAACCAATTACAATCAAGAGTAATTAATTACAATTATCTATAATTATTAATAACTAATTATGAATAATCATAAATAATTATTAATCAAGAGTAAAAGTAAGCAAATATAATTAATTAAAATTAATCATAATTAGTAATTAATTATAATTAATTAATATTTAAATATAAATAATCATTTGTAATTATTAATTAAGATTAAAATTAAAGTTAATTAAAATTAATCATAATTAGTAATTATTTATAATTATTTATAATTAGTTAACAATAATTAATTATGAATAATAGTAAATAATTATTAATTAAGATTAAAAGTAATTAAACTTAATTAATTAAAATTAATCATAATTGTTTATAATTAATAATAATTGATTTTGAATAATTATGAATTAAAATTAAAAATAATTAATTAAACTACTAGTTAATTAAAATTATTCATTATTAATAACACTATTATAAATAATCATATTTAATCAAACCTTTTTAATCGTAAATCTTTAATTTACTAATCTTGTAGTTCGACGGGTTTACTGGATTTGGCCGAAGAAGCGCATGAATGGGAGAAATTTACCTTCACAGCAAGCGGGTTTTCACTGTTGCTTCTGCTCAAAATGTCGTCTCCTGATCCAACAAAAGATGAATGTCGTCGAGGGAGGTGAAGGAGTCGGATTGGCTAGGGCTTCGAACGGGTAGGTGGAATGCTCCCTCTCTCTCTCTCTCTCTCTTTTTGTGCGAGAGGTCGACACAGGCATGGGTCAGCTATGGAGGTCGGAAGTCAGGAAGTTCGGCGGGTTTGCAAAGATCGGGAGGAGAAGAAGGGAAGTTAGGTTGAGCTAGATTGTTGCTTTGGATTAGAAGCATGGAGGAGATGATAACGGAGGTTGGTAAGCAGGAGTTCGGTCGCTGGTTTGGGTCTCGAGTGGAATTGGGGCTGCTGGGGGTTGGAGCTTTCGCAAGATGTGGGAGAAGAAGCGGAGAAAAATAAAAGGAGAGCCCCTCGGCTCTCAATTTATTGACGAAGGTAAAGGCGGGGTAGAGGTGAGCTATGCACGCGAGGATATGACCATTCGGCATCAATTTGCACAGGTAATGAGTACTGTAGCGATGGCCGACGCGACTCGAGCAGGTATTCGGCAGAGAGCAGGGATGGGCGCGGGATTTGCGTATAGGTAATGATTAATTCTCATTTTTTATTGTTTTAGTTTTTTTTTTTTTTAGTTTTTTTTTTTTTTTTGTATTATATTTCATAGGTCAACAGTGGGTGGTGTTTGGTACAAACCCGGATCTGTTGCATACCCTTTCTTATGATAAAAATCCTATTTGTCACAGTAGTTTTATGAACTTGAACGTTGGAATTTTTTGACGTTGGATTGCCATAATTAAATATGATGAACCGTAATAATTCTCATGTATTCAGTGGTCATACCACGTAACAACATCAAATACTGGATCTGTTGTACCATGAGCTTTTATGTGAACTTCTTACTTGACAATTTTTTAATCATGGTTTTTTGCAGGTTGACCTTTGTGGGCATGCAACATTGGCCTCAGCACATTTCCTTCTCACATCTGGGATAACTGAAGCTCATACGCTTGAGTTTTTAACAAGGTCTGGAATTCTGAAAGCCACAAAATTGGATTTACTAAAAGAAAATAATTTGTCGAGGCCTTGTAACGATGGAGGTGAAAGCTTCTTAATAGAGTTAAATTTTCCTCTGATTGAAGCAATAAACGTGAACTCTGCAGAAATACCATCAATCCCAAATACTTTAAATGGCTTGTCCATTGTGAATATTCAGAAAGGCAACGAGGATGGTGGTGATATCATTGTACACACACAATTCTTTGATTTCTTCATTTTGCTTTGGATTGGTTTGCATAAAATTCAATTTGTTTTTGCAGTCAGTTAAGGAGATTTCACTTCTATTTGGATGTGTATTTATATTAGAGATACTTAACTATCATGATTGGTCTATCTTTCAAATGAAAAGTTGTCCATTTCTTTAAGTAAAAAATACTACAAGTTCCAAATCAAGCAAATTGCTATGGGGATATTCATGTTAACATTCATTTAGATTTAAGCCATGTGTATAAAACAAAAACCATCTAATTTCTTCGTAAATTTTTTGCCCCATTGTTATGGTTATTTTGGCTTAAGTAGATATTGTTTCAGCCCACACTGAGATTGTACACTTTTGTAGGTTGAACTTTCTTCCGGGGAGGATGTTACTAATTTAAAACCGAACTTTGATGAGCTATGTAAATGTGCTGGAAGGGGTGTTATTGTAACTGCTCCTGCTCCTCCTGGATCTGATTTTGACTTCTTCTCACGTTTCTTCTGCCCAAAGTTTGGAATTAATGAGGTATTGCAATCCAATACTCGGAATAATAAGTTATTGTTGTTAATAAGCTACACTGTTGCTTTTCAATAATTTCCCATTTCATTAACTCATACTGAAACTCATCCTCCTCATCATGCTATTAGCAACAACTATATTCTCGTAATTCATTCTTCACTTCATGATTTGCTTTTTGTATTTAATTTTATTGGATTTAAAGAATCTGCTGTTATTTTCAGTTTGAGTAAAAACTTTTTTGCCTATTTTTCCCTATAACTTTTGAGACATATCTCTGGAGAAATGTTCTCTTTTACACAAAAGAATAAAATCTCTAAAGAGCAGAACTACTGCTAGTATGTTTTTTCTTTTCTTGATTAAATTTATGTGCTTCACATTATCCTTGGCCATTTTTTTATAGGGGCTATTTGATTTCATGAAAATGAAGTACAAAGTATTCTAAATACAGGGTTTTTTAGAATCTGTTTGAATTCATGATTTGCTTTTTGTATTTAATTTGATTGGATTTAAAGAATCTGCTGTTATTTTCAGTTTGAGTAAAAACTTTTTTGCCTATTTGTCCCTATAACTTTTGAGACATCTCTGGAGAAATGTTCTCTTTTACACAAAATAATAAAATCTCTAAAGAGCAGAACTACTGCTAGTATGTTTTTTCTTTTTGATTAAATTTATGTGCTTCACATTATCCTTCATTTTTTTATAGGGGCTATTTGATTTCATGAAAATGAAGTACAAAGTATTCTAAATACAGGGGTTTTAGAATTTGTTTAATAATGAAAATTCAATGTTGAGTAAAATTTTCATTATTTCCAACTTCACTGTATAGATTATTTTTGATGTATTAAAACCAACCATTAAAAAAGCGGACGAGGCGTCCGCATTGAGTCGCGCCTCAATTCGAGGCGGAAGTCATGCGTATCGGGGCTTACGCCTCGAACCATCCAGCGAAGCCTACGATTTTTTCGCATGAGGCGTACGCACTATAGCGTAATGCCTCGAGGCAGTATGAGGAGGCACCGCCTCGAAATTTTTTCTTCGGTATATATATAAATACGACGCAACCGATTCGTGTTCGTGTATTCGTGTATAGGATTAGGGCTTCCTGTGAGAGTTGAAAGGCGAACTAGAAGCAAAGCCGTGAGGAAAGAGACGAAGCTGTGAGGGAAGGAGACGAAGCCGTGAGTGTAGGAGATGAAGTCGGAAGGAGAGGACGCAGGGAAAGAAACGAAGCCGAAGTTGTGAGTGCAGGAAACGTTTAGGCATCTGTTAGGTCGGAAGAGCAGGTATGCGGTGTTGTGGCCTTGACTTTGACGTGCAGTAACGAAAGCCTGAATAACTCCTGATTCGGCTTTCTTTCATTCGTCCGCTCAGTACATGCTCGGTACTGCTAGGTACATGCTCGGTACCGAGCTAGTACCACTCGGTACCGAGCAAGTACATGCTCGGTACATAGCGGTACATGCTCGGTACCGAGCAAGTACACGCTCGGTACCGAGCAAGTACACCCTCGGTACCGAGCAAGTACACCCTCGGTACCGAGCAAGTACACGCTCGGTACCGAGCAAGTACACGCTCGGTACCGAGCAAGTACACGCTCGGTACCGAGCAAGTACACGCTCGGTACTGAGCAAGTACACGCTCGGTAC